GTGTCGAATCGTACGGTGTCGAATAATTTCGTGTCGAATCGTACGGTGGTCAATCGTACGGTGGTCAATCGTACCGTGGTCAATCGTACGGTGTTAAATTCTTCGCGTCAAATAGAATGTGGTTAATCGTACTGTGGTCAATCGTACCGTGTCGAATCGTACGGTGTGCTATTCTTGCGGTGTCCAATCGTACTGTGGTCAATCGTACCGTGTCTAATCGTACGTGTCCAATATTACGTGTGCAATCGTACTGTGTCCAATTGTACCGTGGTCAAACGGAATACGCCCGTATAAACGAACGGTGTTACAGTACACTCACGTGACAGTATAAAAAAAGATTACTTGCAAGTACATTATTAACCAAATCATGGACAAAAAACTTATTGTGGCAATATGTACAGCTATAATAGAAATTATAGATGAAACAAGTAGTAGTAGTTCGGNAGAAGAAGAAGAATTGTTATCTTTATCATGTTTACATTGCGAGTACCCATATTGCACTGCGATCACTGCAGCTTGTGAGCTACAGTGATCGCAGTGCAAATATGGCTTTCATTTATTGATCGATCGACCAATGCGATCGTTCAAATTGAACAAGTTCTGCTGCCTCGTGACAATCATCGTATGTGATTGGCTTTTACACTTTTAGAACCAACAGGTCAACATTGGTTACGTTCAGAAAACTCAACGATTGAAAGATCATTACTTATGATAGGACTATTCTTCAAAATCCGCATCGGTTCCAAAAGTATGATCCAATCAGAAGTGATTATCTCTCAACCGTTGTGAAACTGTTGAGTTGTCTGAACGCACCCATTTTGGCTGAGGTCCGTTTCATGCTTAAGCATATATTTATCTATAGTATACGTGACATATACCACAGATAAATGCGCGATTAAGGCCTGGTTTATGCAGGCCTAAGATTTTAATATTTCTGTTTATTAACAGAAGCATAACAGAATATAACAGAAGCATTGAAATCCTATAGTTGAACTGTACTAATTCTGGCATAAATTAACAGTTATTACCCGCATAAACAAGGCCAAAACAAGGCCTTATTTGCCCGCATAAACCAGGCCAAAACAAGGCCTTATTTGCCCGCATAAACCAGGCCTAAGCACGAAACGGACCGCAGCTTTTGACGGTCAAGGCGACATCTGAGCCGCCGAACGCGGTTACAACCATACAAGCAAACGAGGTCGTGGATCAAATGATCGAAGGTTTGTTGTGTGGAGGAGGAGGAGGTTAATAATATTTTGAGAAGATATTTGCGAGAAGAAAGAAAAAACTATCTACTGCCGAGGGTGGTAAGTAAACAACCTGATTGTTCTTGTGTAACGTTTGCGACGAAATAAACTGCAAAAAAGATGAACATCGTGTCTTTGTGTCCAAAGTCATATTTTTCATTGTCCCGCGTACGGCGCACAAATTTACAATACAACCGATACCGAAGATTCTAATGCGACGCATATCTTTTCTTTTTGTTATTTTTTTTTTTTCAATGCTCAAATGTATTGGAAAAGAATACACGTAAGTGTGACGTTTCGCGCGTAAACATGCAATTGCGCGCAAAAGGTGCGGAAGGTGTAACCTCGCAAGATGAAAGTAACGGAAACAGGAGACGCCATCTGGTAGCAAATAATTGCGTTCAGATTTCTTAAAAAATGGGAATTGCGAGAAGATTTTGTTCAGAAAGAAAGAGAGTTTTGCGCATACGAATGACAGAGACGTAAGAATTCTTGTTAAAAATTTATTATATATATATTGTTGTTATTATTTTTACTAAAAAACTATATTGATCTAAATGTTCTCACATCTTGCGCGCACAATTGTGCCAGGCAATATGACGTGTCTCTCTGTGTGTGTGTGTGTGTCTGTGATTTACATTTAATAATATAATAATTTAATAGCTCGTTTTTTATTTTATGTAATTTACATACACAGAATAGTCTTGAATAACAATAACAATTACATGTACTCGGGGAAAAAAGTTCTTCACGTATGGACAAATTTGATATCTGGCGTATAATCTATATACGTGTGTGTGTGAAATTGAGACGCTCTCATGATTTTACGTAATTGTACGCAATTGGATATCGAATTTTTTAAGATACATAGAATTTGTTTGTATATGAGGGACTTTTTTCCCAAAACGTGTATAATAATAACTTATTTATATACATAAAGTTACATAATAATATCTTTATATATATATTATAATATAATATTTGTATATTATAATATATATTGTTGTGTTTTTTATTTTTTGTATATGTTATAATATTTCGCTCTCTACTAGTTTCGAACTTAATTAACTCTAGTACAAAGTGTATTAAACCAATCAATATTTGTCAATTTGTTACTATTTGCGATAAAAAAAAAAAAAAAAAAAAAAAACTGTAACAAAACAATTCTAGTCTACGTCTTCGCGCACGCCCTACGGCAAATCCTGCGAGAGTTCCTTCTGTCGCAATCGGTACTCGGTCGGTGTTAACATGCCTCTGGAAGCAACAACTTGTTTTGGTCACTCGCTCACGTGTGTGCAAAAGTTTCAATCAGATATGCCAAGGACTCGAACTTTTCACATTACACGGTGGCGAAATGGCCACGTTTTGCAATTCCGTTCAAATAATTTACGACTTGCGTCGATTTTATTCGCGACAAAATTCGCTTTCACAATCATTTCATTGATTTTGATCTTGAATTTTTATTACCTCAGTACAGTGTCAAAGGACACGCACACGCCCTTGTCGCACATTCTCCTGTAGAGATGCCAGCACTCCTTTTCCTTCATCGTTTGGAAGTGCGGCTCCAACGGCATCGCCTCTCCTCGCGGCGTCTCCTCCTTCGACGGCGGTGTCTCCTTCGCAAACTGTTCGACCTGCAACACACCGAAGCGACGTGAAGTAACGCGTACTCTTTTTTTTTTTTTTATGTCGTCGTATTTAATTTGCTGCAAATTTTTGCGTGAACGCAGCACGAACTCTCTTCTACCTTCGAAAGCGGAGCGTCGTTGGTTGGCGGAGCTGGAACGACGACAAGATCGATTCGCGACAGCGTGAGATGCGGCCTCGGCTCCTTGGTTTCCGTGGACGCGATTGGCGTGATCTCCGGTCTGTGAGCATCGGACAATAAAACGCACGCCGTAAGTTTGTTTTGTTTTTTTCCTTCAGAGGGAAACTATTGCAAAATTATTATTTTATTACTAAATTATTGTTGCGCGTGTTTTCTTGCGTCTTGTAAATCGGTTCGAGATAACGTCGACGTTCTGAAACGCGCCGAAAAAATCCATTTTGATTGGGAGCGTCGGAAGCAAATTCGCGACGTTCGCCGGAAGAAGTTTGGAAAAATGAAGAAAAAAACCGAAAGGAGAAGCGGAAAATTGCTTGTGGCCTTCCAAGGTTGTCGCGAGAGCATCGAACAGGGACACATCGAACGTGATGAGATCGAAGAAGCGCCAATCGAAGGACGTACCATGATCCGCGAGATCTGCGGCTATTCGTACCAGTCTGTGTTACCAATTCCCTCCCTCTCTCTCTCTCTCTCTCTCATCCTCTCTCTCCCTCTCTTTCTATCATCGTTCTACTTTTATTTTTTCGACGTCGATATCATAAATCGTCGGCCAATTGAACTTTTTTCTCTCTCCCTCCCCCCCTTCTTTTGCATCTAAATTAAATCACGAAGATACCAGACTCGATCATACACGAATCTATATCATCGTCCACCTCACCTCGATATATCGCCAACTTTCTCAATATCCTAATCGCGTTTTGTAGATGACTTGGATTTGCTCGGAAACTCGGATCTTACATCGGCCGGCTCGGCGTGCTTCGTGTTCGCAGCAGCTTTCGCTTCTTGTCGTGTAGATCGCCGATCGGCACAGCCAGGCATCTCTTCTCGCGGTCGGTCAGCGGCGCCTCCGGCATCAGCGTCTCTTCCTCGGCGTTCTGCGCGATAATTAACGCGGAGATCGGCAACGGCGGCGGCAGCGGTGGCGGCGGCGGTGGCGGCTGCGTTGTCGTCGTCGTCGTCGTCGTTGTCGCGGCGATTCCGTTGACGACCGCTGCTGGCTTTTGCTCCGAATTCTCGTTTCTGTGAGCGAGCGTAACGGCGAAACCAAACCGAGAAGGCTGCACGCTGACTGTCTGTCTCTCCTCTCTCGTCGCCGGAGTCTCCTCGTCGAAGGAGTCTCTCTGAAAGGAGACTGTCCAGCGATTCAACAGAAATTTTTTCGAGATACTTGCGTATGTAAATGCGCATCAAGAGGATGAGAAATGATACGCGTCGACTCGGTCTCCTCGGCGCCGCGCGGAAGTAAATCAATGATGGGACGATATCGTCCCGCGCTCGGTCGCGCGGCGGAACCGGGTTACCTGGTAAATAGGTCCGATTCGGCACGATTGTAAAAAGACCCCCCAAACTCGATTGTACACGACAGCCTATTAACCTGACCCGCGATCAATCTCGATGTCCCCGCATTGCATAAAACTCTTCGCGTATCCGTCAATTCTCTCGCGCAAACTTTAAAAGTCCTGGGTATAAACCCCCGCGACAGTTTTAGGAAATTTAAAAATTTCGGATTTTTCCGTCGCATATTTTTTCTGTCCTTTTTTTTTTTACTTGAAAACTGTTTTGCATTTGAAAAAAAATTAAAAAAAAAAATTGTAAATAAGTCGCGAGTGAATTGGAAAAAACCGTGTTTGTGCAGATTTAAACCGGCGATAAACGTAGCGCGAAAGCAATGAACTTAAGAAAGTCTATTGATCGCGCGCGAAGTGAAAGCGAATTGTATAGAGAGAAGCTGGCATCTGGAAATTATTCCAGATATGTGTGTGGCTTGCGTGTCTCGTGTCTCTCCTAATTAGTCTTGATTCAATTATAGTTCTACGCCTCTTCGCCTCGCTCGCGTTGCCACGCGTTATCGAACGTTCACGTATCACGACACATGAACTCAGACCGGCAGATAAGTTCTAATTTAAGACACGACAGATAAAGCGCAGGAAGTGAGAAAGAATCTTCTTTTCATCAGTTTTTTTTTCGCATCATCATCGTGTCGAACAAACGTTTTTCGACTTTGCTGCTCTTGGTCAACAGGAATTAAAAAAAAACTGTAGCGATTCTTTGTTACGAAAAAAAACGTGATTTTAAATTCTTTATATAAGTTTTTATACAAAGACGTTGAATAAATACAGAATGAAAATTCGCTTGCGAGACGTTCGTCGCACACGTGCGTGCGATATTTTATTCAACGGTTTTGGATGTGCAATTCTGTGTATGGGGTTTTAAGCCCCTTGCACAATGGAAGGAATAGCGATAGCGATAGAAATAATACCAATTGTAAAGAGTTTATATTTATAAATAACGGTAGGAACAGCGGAATCTAACATAAAAAAATACACATGTATCAATGCAGATCAGAAAATCGGAATAAGCAATAGCGATAAAATTTCCGTCGAGTTGGAATTCTGTGTCTAAAACTGTGTTATTTCTATCGCTATCGCTATTCCTTCCATTGTGCAAGGGGCTTTAAACGCGATAACAAAATAGAATCCCGTACCTGATTTTATAGGTTTTCTCGCTGTGCCGGGATTAGTGCTGAGGGATGTTTTGATGATCGGAGTGGTGGGCAGTTTGCTGCGCAGCTCGTCGATGAGTTTGTCGTCGCCCGGCAGCTTCTCCACGTCGCTGTCGCTGTCCGCCGAGCTGACCAGAGACACCATCGTGATCACGTCGCTCGTTCTGGGATCCACGGAACCTTTCCCTCGTCCGCCGCGATCCTCGTCTCTGCTCGGGTCCGACGATCCGAGGAAGCGTTTCTTCGTGCTCTTCGATCTTCTCTTCAGAGAGGCCGATTTTATCGGTCGCTCACCCCGCAATATCTGAAATTCAATTCACGCGATCTCTCCGCGTTCTTGTTTATTTTTACCTTCAAATTGTACGCGCGCGAAATTTATTCTTTCGGCTTCAGAAAATCCAGAACGGAGACAATGTCTCGTCTTATATTATACCTTCGTCGGACCCTCCTCGTTCTTCTCCGTCGCGTCCTTTCCGTCCTGCGTTTTTCCGCAAACGATCGACGACTTGTCCGTCATCTCGCCGAGACCGGGCGTGTCGATCACGATGTTCACCTGTACGCGCGTCGCAGACGCGACGTTGCGCTTTTGCAGCGGCGCCGAACTGGTTCTCCTCGTCTTGTCCAAGCTTACCGTTGACGAGGTTCTCGCGAAAACGACGCCCTTGTCCGATCTCGTCGCGGTTTTGTCGGCCGAGGCGCATCTCATCTCGACCAATTTCGCCGACGCGATTCTGTCTTTCGCCTCGTACGACGCCTTCGGCGACTTTTCCGTCATCGGTACCAGGAACGCGCGATTCGTACAGCTGTGGAAATTCGCGCGCTTCTGTTTCGCCGACACGAAATTGTCATTGGGTCTCGCTGTTGCCGCGCTGTCCGGTTTCAGGGACGGGAAGGCGACGACCGAGGTCGTCGAAAGATGAAGATTCGTGCAGTCGATGTTTATGCGCTTCTTCTTCTTCTCCTCCGGGTCCGAGTTGGCGTGCGAGGTCGTCGTCGCTTCCTGAAAGAAGTCGGTAATAAAATAAAAGAAATTATTAGTTGTGTACATTAGCGGCGATACAATAGTAAAATGTATTATTAATTAGATGCAGACACCTCGTTCTCCTCTTTTTCTACACTTTCCGCGACATTCTCATCCTTCTTCGTCGACAAATCGTTCTCCGTCGTTGGAGACGCAACCTTCGATTTCTCACATTCGTCTTCCTTATCAGACGTTTTTTTCTCCTCCACCAGATCCCCAGACGCCTCCGGATTCTGCGAATCTTCCTCGTCATTATGAACGGAATCGGACTTCTGTCTGGAGAGCGGAGTCGGCGGAGCGGACATCGACATCTCGGAGTCGCATCGCTCTCCCACGGTCACACCGTGCGCCAGGAAGATATCGATGTTCGCTTTTTTCTGCTCCCGGTGCTTCCAAGCGAGCCGCAGCCTCTCGGCCAGTTCCTGTCGCGAGTACAGAATCGACGCCTTTTCCATCGCGACGTAGGGTCTGCCGGATCGGCCCGTGGTCGGTCTGGATCGGCTCGGGATCTGCCTGGCCACCACTTCCACCTGAGCCGCATTGTTGCTGCCGCGACGATCATCGCTCCAGGCGACTCGTACCTGTCACGTTTTGAGAGACACATTGTCATGTGTAATTATCAGAACGAACGTGGTCAACAGATAGATTTGAAGTAAAAGAGTTATCGAGATTCGGTTTTACAACGACAACAACGCACTTTGGGCTTTTCCGTCGCATTCGCGGCTAGTCTGCCGCGCGCGATCGGATTCGCGTAGATCTGCAGGGACTTGCCGCAATCGTCCTCCGCCGATCTCTGTCGTCTGATGTGTTGCCGACGCGGAACAGGCTGTTGCAACGATAGCTGTCTCACCGGCCGCGCCGCTCTTCTGCCGTTAGACATCCCTGAGTGGTCGTTCTTCTTGCATCGTCGATCCTTTTCACCTCCGATTCAACGCGTTCCCGCCAAATCTTCTCTGCAAAAATTTATTTCATGTTCATGTTTGTTGTCTCGACACAACCAATTGTTGTCACACTCGGTGAAGCTTTCTAAGAAAGTTCTACGAATTTTTGTAAGTTAGTAGAATTATCTCAAATTTGTTGTCATTCGCAAAAGTTACTAATTAAATTTTTTAATAAAAAATTGTATTTACTCTCTTGACAAATTTTGTTCGAATCCTTTCCAGCTCTCGAGCGTGGAACGTGAAACCGGGGAACGTGCTGTCGATGATGCGGCTGTGCGCCGACTGGCTTGGCAGCCTTTTCATCCATTGCCCTCTGCCACCCTCCATCCCAAGTCGATTCACCAATACACCACCCGAAACGCAGGTGTATCGCCCTCTTCCCATCTCTCTCTCTGTGCCTTACGGAGAGGCCAACACACTAGTTTACAACCGTATTAGTACCATTAACCTCCGTCATTATACGATCACTGTCAGCGCTGCCAGGGTGGTCGAACTCGCTGACTTCGTGTTGCCCTCGAGGCCACGAAGGTGTGACGTAACTTAGCGATATCCACACGCATGTGTGTGGATATACGTGCATGTATACGTGAGAGAATGCTCGACTTTTGATTTAACAAAATGCTACGTTAGCTTTTTCGACGTTGCGTAAGTTCGCACAAAAAAGCGTTTAAATTTATTTACACAAAAGGGATAAATTGTTTGATCGCGCCGTCAGCAGAATTAATTTCTTTACGACGTTACACGACGAGAGAGAGAGAAGATCAAATGTTACTTCGAAACTGGACAGACGTCGCAAATGCGTTTCTTAGCTATTTTGCAAGACATGTGGTTTCGATATTACGTCCACGTGACCGTAAAAGTTGTGAATATTGAACGATGCATGTGTGTCGAAGTTTCGCCGAATTTGATTGTACTTTTTACATAGGCGAAAAAAAAATTATATATATATATATATATCTTTTGCAATCAGCAGTCAATGCCGCTCTCGAGTGACGGCTCGAGTTCGTAATTCAGGGACGAGAGAAATTAGCATCTCTCGATCGAAAATCGCATCGCTCGAAACTCATCCTCTGTGACTCAGCCTGGTACACGTTGCCCGCGCTTCGTCACGTGTAACCACTTTCTCCCTCGACACCCTCCACCTCCTTTCGCCACCCTCTGTCCTCTACTATATCCCCAACCCGGCGGCCACGTGCTGTTGTTGTGGAGTCACCGTCGAAGTCGCTGCCGCGACTCTTCTAGTTTATCGAGAATCCCTCGGGGAGGGAAATGCCGGCAAGAGCAGCCAGTCACTGCCTAGTATTATTGATCAAAACTCTGCCCATCATCTGACAGCTTGTTGTCCGCAGTTGCCATGGCGAGTCGACGGCTCGATCATTCCAATTTCTGGGCTCGGATCGACTTCTTTTCTCGCTTGTTCATCCCCCTCGACACCAAATACCACGATGTTCGCCCCTTTTTCTTACGTTTTCCAGGTTCTCCTCTTGACTCGGGTTCTTTGCGTTGTCCCATTGACGAAGAAAACTGGCCTCAAGCTGGTCGTTCCTATGGTCGATCAGAAAATCTTATTCCTGCATGTTGAAAGAAAAGATTGTTTGCTAAAAAGATAAAAATTGACAGATGCAACGCGACGAAGCCATTTGTAACTGGAGGAGGAACCGTGAGATTAAAGAATGTGCAACTGTAAAAACAAAAAAAATCGATTTTTCTTATTGACCAAATCGGTTGAATCCTCCCGGGGGGAAGTGGGTTACAGTTTCGCTTGCCGGCGATGGCGCAGAAATTGCAGCCGGAAACTTTTGGCAAATCGGCGATTAAAGCTTGGAACTGCCTTAATTGACGCCCTTATCAGCAAACTTCGGCAACCTCGAGCATTGCCAAGAAATTTTCGATTTGCCCCGTTTCCATCTATCGTCCGCGATTGATAGCAGGAGAGAGGAGGTTCTGATTATACCTCCCCCCCGGGGGGGGGAAGGGGGGTTGATCGATCTCCACATTAAAACTGTTGTGAAAATACGCTATTGGCGAATAGTTCGAGCTATTGGCGTGGTAACACACTTTTCGATATTTTTTAATTAGTCAAATATTTTACATAATTTTATTTTCTTAGCTAATACAATTTAAAAAACTTTGTATGAGAAAAAAAAATGCGACTACATTTATTTGCGAAAAGACAAATATATATTAAATTGCGTTGTTCCAGAACACGTCGGACGGAACTGCGTCACCCCGTTTTGTTCGAAGAATCTTCCTCGAGATGGACGATCTTACGATCCCGGTGTCGAAGTTAGAAACGTTTTTTGACAAGCAGGACTTTTCCCAAGGTAGAATATTTCAAACGTGTCGCGCGTTTCGAGTCTTTGGGTTTTCATATTGTTGAATACATTGAACGCACACATTGTTTTAAATATATTTCTAGAGATGAATTCTTGATATTTTTTCAATTTTATTGCTCTTAGACCGTTTCGCTTTCGACGTGGCGCACCTATTGGAGGCTCTGGAGCAATCTTTCTCAAGGTGCGCGGTTCAATTGCTCGACGAGCAAATTTTCCGCAAGGTTCTGCCGAAGGCACAAGCACTTCTGTTAGAGGTAAAGTTGTTTTTTTTTTTTTTTTTTATTTTTTTTATTTCTATATCTATATCTATATATATTTCTATATCTATATCTATATCTATATTATATGGGTAATTCTCAAAAAACGTAATCTCCGTGGACTGTAATCTTCGTGGTATATTGACATAAAAAACATAGATAAGTTTTTTATATTACATAGTTACGTATTGATATTACGAATGGTGACTTAAAATGGTATAAAAAAACATAATTTATCGCTATCCGTTAGTTTAATAATAATTATCTTTTATCAAAAATGAAAGTTGAAATTTACGCGTTCACACCCTTACGAAAAAGAACTATTGCCGATTACATATAAATATTACTGGCAATTACACAAGAATATTATTAGGTATTACAGAAAAAATTATTGGATATCACAGAAAATATTATTGGATATCACAGGAAGTATTACAGGTTATCACTGAGAATATTAC